TTTTTCCAGCCACACCTGGTGTTCAGGGCATACTCCAAGCTCAGTGCTCACTCTGGGACCAGAGACCATGTCGTGCTGGGGATGGAACTTGAGGCTTCTACATGCGTAACCCATTGAGCCATCTTTCTGGTTTTGTTACTTCTGTGTTTTTGATCATCTCCTGTTGTGCGACTGAGGTCTACGCCAATCTGGTCAGATGGTCAGAATTGGGGAGTGGGATAAGGATTTCTCCTGGTGGTTTTTTTTTTGGGGGGGGTGGCACACCTGACACCAGGCAGTGCTCAGGGATCACTCCTGGCAAGCCCAGGGGACCAGGGATCAAGCTCAGGATGCCAGATATTGTGAACCCAGCTCTGCTGCATGGCAGACAACCACCCTCCTTGCTGTTCCTCTGTCCCCAAGCCTCATCTCCTGGTACTTGAGAGGTCATGCAGCACTGGGCTCTGGATCAAACTCACGCTCCCACATGCACAGCCCTCTGAGTCACCTTCCCACCCAAGTTCATTGTTCATCCGTCTTTCCCAGGCTTTGTCTCTGCACATTAAAAAGTTCACTTTCATTACCTGTCTCCATCCATAAATTACGCTTCTCCCCCTTGAAGCTGCTTTCAAGTAGATCAAAAGCCAAATTGTGCATTACTCAACGGCTTCATCATTTATGTCTATTTTAAAATCCTCATCAATGGCCTGTAGCTGGTTTCCTTTGGGGGGGGGGGGGAGGCGGGCAATGCCGGCGATCAAAGCCCAAAGCCAGTTCTCACACGCCAGGCTGCATCCCAGAGTCACATTCTTTTTTTTTTTTTTTTTTTTTTTTTTTTTTGCTTTTTGGGTCACACCCGGCAATGCACAGGGGTTATTCCTGGCTCTGCACTCAGGAATTATTCCTTGTGGTGCTCAGGGGACCATATGGGATGCTGGGAATCGAACCCGGGTCGGCCGCGTGCAAGGCAAACACCCTACCCACTGTGCTATTGCTCCAACCCCCAGAGTCACATTCTGACCCAAGTTTGATCTCCAGCACCCCATAGGGTCCCCCCAAGTCCTGCCAGGAGTGATCTTAAGTATAGAGCCAGGAGAAATCCCTGAGCACCGCTGGGCGTGGCACCAAAACCAAAAAACAAGAATTCAAGACTCTCTAACAGACTCTTACTTATCCACAAAGTCCCAGTCGAGGGTAGTTAGAGAAAAACTTTGAGTTTTGGTAAGGGGTGTTGGATTACACCCGATTGTGTCCAGGGCTTATTTCTGGCTCTGTACTCGAGGATCATTCCTGGTAGTGCTCCCTGTGGGGTGCTGAGTATCCAATCTGCCTTGGTTGCATGCAAGGGAGGTGCTTTCCTTCTCTCCTAGCTCTCTGTGTCCATTTTCTTTTTTTTTTTTTATCTTCTGATTTTTGGGTCACACCCAGTGGTACCCAGGGGTTACTCCTGGCTCTGCACTCAGGAATTAGTCCTGGCAGTGTTCAAAAGACGCGGCAGTGCCACGGATCAAACCCAGGTCAGCCGCATGCAAGGCAAGCACCCTACCTGCTGTACTATTTGCTGTATTAAGAGGGTTTTTTTTTCTTTTTGTTTTTTTGTTTTGTTTTTTTGTGTCATACCCAGTGGTGTTCAGGGATTATTTCTGGCTCTGTACTCAGGAATCACTCCTGGTGGTGCACTGAGGACCCTATGGGATGCCAGGGATCGAACCCAGGTCAGCCACATGCAAGGCAAGCACCCTTCCTGTTGTACTACTTGCTGTATTAAGAGGGTTTTTCTTTTCTTTTTTTTTTTTTTCTGTGTGTCATATCCAGTGATGTTCAGGGATTATTTCTGGCTCTGTACTCAGGAATCACTCCTGGTGGTGCACTGAAAACCCTATGGGATGCCAAGGATCGAACCCAGGTCCGCCGCGTGCAAGGAAAGCAGGCTGTCTATTCTCCCGCTGTCCTATTATTCCCGCTTCTCAGGTCGGGAGTTACCATTGTGACTCAAAGGAAATTTTCCTAACACCACTGTCTACTCAGGCTCTTGAAGCGAACGATGAGTCAGGAAAATATCAAAGTAGCATTAACTCACGGAAGCCCAGGGAGGAACCCTCGCAGCGCGGGGCTGATGTGAAACGCGCACAGAGGCCGCTGCTAAGCTCGGACAGAGGGTCCTCTGTGCTCTGAGAGAGGACCCCTCCACGTCCCATCCTGGCCACGCTCCTGATCACTCCTTTGCTCTCCAGATAATCTTGTAACGCTCTCGAAAGCTCGTGAGGGAGAAGAGCAAAGGCCCCAGGAAGCTTAAACCAAACCCTCACCATCACCTAACCCCAAGCCTCACCTCTAACCCTGATTCTCACATGGTTCTCACCCTGATTTCTGGGCCACACCCCACAGTGCTCAGGGACTACTCCTGGCTCTGTGCTCAAGAGTAACACCTGGTGGTCCTCAGGGGACTATGCAGTGCCTGACACTGGGGAAGGCGAGAACTAACACTCCAAATGGTGAGAATAAAACTCGGAAGGGAAGTGGTCTGATACTCAGGGAAGGACGAGAGCTGATATTCAGGGAAGGGGAGTGAGGCCTGAGACTCAGGGAGACAGGAGGACTGATACTTTCACAAGGGGGTGAGGACTCGGGGAAGGATGTGAGTACCGATATTCAGGGAAGAGGGTCTAGGACTGAAGCTTGGGAAAGGGAATCAGCGCTGATACGCAGGGAAGGGTAAAAACTTATACGCGGTATTGGGGGGTGAAGACTGATGCTTGGGGAAAGATGTGAGGACTGATACTCAGAGAAGGGGGATGAGGACTGATACTCAGGGAAGGGGGAGTGAGGACTGATACTCAAGAAAAGATGTAAGGACTGGTACTCAGGAGGGGATGAGGACTGATACTCAGGGAACCATGTAAGGACTGGTACTCAGGAGGGGATGAGGACTGATACTCAGGAAAAGATGTAAGGACTGGTATTCAGGAGGGGATGAGGACTGATACTCAGGGAAACATGTAAGGACTGGTACTCAGGAGGGGATGAGGACTGATACTCAGGGAAACATGTAAGGACTGGTACTCAGGAGGGGATGAGGACTGATACTCAGGAAAAGATGTAAGGACTGGTACTCAGGAGGGGATGAGGACTGATACTCAGGGAAACATGTAAGGACTGGTACTCAGGAAGGGATGAGGACTGATACTCAGGGAAACATGTAAGGACTGGTACTCAGGAGGGGATGAGGACTGATACTCAGGAAAAGATGTAAGGACTGGTACTCAGGAGGGGATGAGGACTGATACTCAGGGAAACATGTAAGGACTGGTACTCAGGAAGGGATGAGGACTGATACTCAGGGAAACATGTAAGGACTGGTACTCAGGAGGGGATGAGGACTGATACTCAGGAAAAGATGTAAGGACTGGTACTCAGGAGGGGATGAGGACTGATACTCAGGGAAACATATAAGGACTGGTACTCAGGAGGGGATGAGGACTGATACTCAGGAAAAGATGTAAGGACTGGTACTCAGAAGGGGATGAGGATTGATACTCAGGGAAACATGTAAGGACATGATACTCAGGAGGAGATGAGGACTGATACTCAGGGAAGGGGGAGTGAGGACTGATACTCAGGGAAAGATGTAAGACTGGTACTCAGGGAAGGGGATCAGGACTGATACTCAGGGAAGGGGTGAAGACTGATACTTGCAAAATAATGTAAGGACTGATACTCTGGCAGGATGAGGACTGACACTCGGGAAGGAGCAAGGCCAGATATGCAGGGTGAGACGAAGACTAGTCTTAGGGAAGGGTGAAGACTCCTACTGTTGGTGGTTAGGAATCATCACTCCAGGCCGAGAAGACCCTCATGTTGGGACCCCACAGACGGGCAGCTTCTGCTCTGCAATCCCTACAGGACTTGGGGGCACCCCCAGACAGACAAGTGCTGATGGGGAGTTCTGAGGGTGGCATCCAGGAGGTGTGGGGACGTGTCCGAGGAAAGGGACAGGGGTCAGGTCCATGCCTGCTGTCCCATGTCCCGCTGACGGCACTGACACTCCAGGTGGGCATGATCAGGACACAGGGGTCGGGGTACAGGTGGGGATCTGCCCCACTAAGCCCCTTCTCCCCCATCTGAAAAGCCGCTGCTAACTCTCAGTTGAGGGACACAAGACCACCATGTCCCCACCCAGGGTCCCCAAAGCCAGGCTGTGCCAATGTTTGGGTTTGGGGGCCTCCACGGGTGCACAGGAGGTCCTACTGGCTTAAGAAGGAAGTGCAGGGGTTGGAGCGATAGCACAGCGGGTAGGGCGTTTGCCTTGCACGCAGCCAACATGGCCCACCCGGATTCGATTCCCAGCATCCCATATGGTCCCCTGAGCACCGCCAGGAGTAATTTCTGAGTGCATGAGCCAGGAGGAACCCCTGAGCATCACCGGGTGTGACCCAAAAAGCTAAAAAAAAAAAAAAGAAGGAAGTGCTAGGATTTTCTTTCTTTTTTTTTTTTTTTTTGATTTTTGGGTCACACCTGGCAATGCTCAGGGGTTCCTCCTGGCTCATGCACTCAGGAATCACTCCTGGCGGTGCTTGGGGGACCATATGGGATGCTGGGAATCGAACCTATGCTGGCCATGTTGGCTGCGTGCAAGGCAAACGCCCTACCCACTGTGCTATCGCTCCAGCCCCAGTGCTAGGATTTTCCTCCCTCCCTTCCTTCCTTCTTTCCTTCCCTCTTGGGCCATACCCAGCAAAGCTCAGAGGTCACTCCAGGCTCTGAGCTCAGGAATCACTCCGGCCAATGCTCGGGGACCATATGGAATGCCGGGGGTCGAACCCGGTTTGGCTGAATGCAGGCTCTTCTGTCGCTCCGACCCCCGGGGAGCACCTTTTCACCCTGGAGCACCACAGTCAGCGGAGGCAGGACTGAAAGGTGTGGATGTCCGTATGACGCTAAAGTCTTATTTTACTAAAAATCCATTTATAGTTTACAAAACAGCAGACACCTGCCCTCAGAGTCCCCTCCCCAATCCTACAAAAGGGGGTTGTGCTTGGAGAACTGGACAAGGGGATCAGGGCGTGGTGCCAGGGGACCTGCCTCTTTGCTCCAGCCCCAGCGGGCCTGGTGATGGCCTCAGGGGGAAGAGGAGGAAGTCGTGTACCCAAAGTGGTTGCCATCCGACTCGCCCAGGGTCAGCGACAGCGACAGCTGGGGCTTCCGCTCATGGTCCTCCTCCTCCAGGCAGCGTTGCGGGGTCCGGGGTTTGAAGAAATCTGAAACATACCTAACCTGGGGGCGGGGCAAGAAGGAAGTGGGAAAGCTGATTGGGCCAGGCAGGGTAGGGAGGCGGGGCTTCAGGGGGGTGGGTCCGGAGCCGAGGAGGGTAACTCACCGTGAGGCAGGCCACCAGCGCCCCCTGCAGGAGGCCGACCAGAACATCGCTCCAGTGGTGCTTGTGGTCAGACACGCGGGTGTAGCCCACGTACAGCGCGAAGGCCACCAGGAAGAACTGTACAGTGGGGCGCAGTAGCCGCGCCCACTTCCAGCACAGCCGCGCCTGCACGTAGAGCTGGGACGGGGCGGGGGGGGAGAGCAGGGGATCAGACTGGGACCCTCAGAAGATAAACCCAGCGCCAACCCACCGCCCCCTGCCCAGATGCAAAGCCGGGAGGGGTCCCAAGAGTGGGGTAAGCGGGTCACCCAGACTCACGGCCAAGAACATCATGCAGTACATGCCGAAGGACGAGTGTCCCGAGTAGAATGACAACCTGGGGGGGGGGGGGTAAGTAGGGGAGGAAGACACAAGTGCTGAGTCTAAGAGGGGGGGTCCCCTCAAATCGGCAGTGTCAGTGCATTTACTTGGGTTCTTCTAACGGCAAGATCTTGGGGAGCAATCGAGGGTTCCGACACCCAGTTGACTGCCAAGCTGTGGGTGACCCGAGCACAGACAAGTGGGTGTTGTGTGAGTGTGGTTTACAATGTTTGGTTTGGGGTTCACACCTGGCCGTGCTCAGGTTTTTCATCCTGGCTATGTGCTCAGGGATCACTCCGGGGGGGGGGGCTGGGAGACCCTAGGATCTAACCCTAGGATCTGCCACGTGCAAGGCAGGCATCCTCCCTGCTGTACTAAATTTCTTATTTTTTCCCCCTCCATTTTCTTGTTAAGTCAAGTTTCCGCACAGGGCATCAAGCCCGAAAGTGATTTTTATCCAAAGTTCAGCCCTCCATAAAAACAGTGAAAACTGGGGCTAAAGAGATGGGTAAGGCACTTGCCTTGCACGCGGTCGATCCAGGTGAATCCCTGGCACCCCAAGGGTCCCTCGAACCCCACCAGGAGTGATCCCTCAGCAGAGAGCCAGGAGTAAACCCTCAGTACTGCTGGGTGTGGTGTAAAAAACAAACAAAAACACTCGCCGGGGGTCCCCCACGTGTCGCTGGCCCCGCCCCAGCGCCCTGGCCCCGCCTCCAGACGCTGGCCCCGCCCCCGGCCGCTGGCCCCACCCACCTGGCCTCGGTGACGTTGGCGGGGCTGCCCCTGCACACGGTCTCCACCTGCACGTATGCAGAGCAGTTGATGCGGCTCCAGTCGGGGTCACACACAGCCAGGAAGCTGGGGCGCAGGCGGCCGATCATATACTTGGCCAGGTCAGTCAGGGACTGGCTCACCGCTGCCCCAAACAGGAAGGTCCCCAGGACCTTGTAGACAGCAGCCAAGTAGTTGTTGAAGTCCGAGTGGGAGTAGAGGCGTTGGGTGTAGACCAGGTAGGCCTCCCCGGTGGAGACCTGCCAAGGGGTCCGAGTCTCAGGGTAGGGTCCAGAGATACACCCAAGCCTCCCCCCAGGCTCTCACTCCCCAGCGTTTGGTTTGGGGGCCACCCCTGGCGGTGCTTAGGGAGGACTCCTGGCTCTGCACTCAGGACTGACTCCTGGCGGTGCTCAGGGAGGACTCCCTCCTGGCAGTGCTCAGGGGAGCTTATGGGATGCCAGAGATGCAAGGCAAATGCCCTCCCCGCTGCAATACGACTCCAGCCCTTGAGAACTCTGAAGGAGGAATTTTGTTTTTCTTTTGGGGGTCGCACCTGGCGATGCTCAGGTGTTACTGCACTCAGGAATTACTCCTGGAGGTGGCTCAGGGGCTCATCTGGGACGTCGAGGACGGAACCCGGGTCAGCCACGTGCAAGAAGGCAAAAAGCCCTACTCGCTGGACTCTATCCCTCCGGCCCCCAGAAGGGAGGGATAGTCAACCACAGACACCACCCAGGGCAGGGCTGTCTCCCACCAGTCCCCACCCTGCAAGACGGGACCTCCCCCACGCCCCTTACAAGGACAATGGTGGCGGTGATGGTGACCCCGGCCATGACCCCGTTGGTGATGGTGTCTGGCCGGTAGGGGTAGCGGATGGAGTCATCGCTGCAGTAGAACCCTCGCTTGTATGGGGTGTTCACCACCGTCAGGATGACAAAAGGCAGCGCGGCTGGAGGGCGAGAGGGAGTGGGGGGGTGAAAGTAACCCCCGGGGTCTCCACAGCGCCACCTTCTGGCCAAGGGGAGGTCGCTGCACCTTCAACACCCTTCGATAACGCGCCAGGAACCCCCCCCCCCAAGCAGCAACTTCCTGTCTGCAGAACATTCCTAATTTACTCCCAGGGTACCAGCTCCCTCGCTGCGGAATGCCAGTCCCCCCTCCCCACCCAGCACTGCCGCTGACACCCCACCGCCCAACCCCTATCACCCTCACCCCTCACCCCTGCCCCCTCGGGGATGGAATCCGGATCACCCAGTGAGAGCCCCCCCCCCGAGCCCCCTTGGAGAAGGCGTTTGATCAGCACCTGCTGTCCGTCGTTTTATTGGCCATTCAGAGACACCCCGATTGCCAAGAGCCTGCGCTCTGCAGCTCTGCCGACTGTCCCCCCCCACCCCCCGCCCACACACACACAAAGGGGCATCAACAGGTAGGACACCCAGATCCTGCCTGGGAACTGGGTGCAAAGACACATACGCCCGGCGCCAGAGGCTGAAAGGTGTGGTCCCCGGTAGGGGCAGAAACCAACCCGGGCCAGTGCCCTTTGCCCCCAAAAGGGTGAGGGACAGTGTGAAAGGGTGGGGCGATCCAGGTACCTCAACAACAGGGAGGGGAGGAGCAGACCGCATCCTCCTCCCCCCCCCCCATCAGCCCTAATTCTGGCTCTGGAGGGGGCAACTAGGAGGTGACTGTCCCTACCCCATTAGCCAGCCTAGCGGAGGCTGGGGGTCCCCTATGATGGGTGATAGGCGGGAGTATAGCTTTAAGAGATGGGTAGCCCCTCCGCAGCGGGACTAGGCAGGGCAGGGTGGGGAGGGCTGCAGGAGGGTTTGGAGGATTCTCACCTCCAGGACCTGGGAAAGTCCAGGCAGAGATCAGGACACATCCCCCAAAGAGCCAGGATAGAGGGCCAGCCGGCTCCCTGGAGACCGCCCCGCCCCCCAGGAATTCCGGAAGTGGCTCCAGCTGGTATGGGGCCCCCCTCCTCCTCCTCCTCCTCCTCCTCCTCCTCCCCCCTCCCCCCAACCCCCCAGCTAAAGCTTCTCGGTGACCACCACCAGATCAGCGCCTGGCATCCACAGCCTGGTATACATAACAACAACCGCACTGTGCTGTGTGTGACCTGGAAAAGTGGCTGAACCTCTCTGAGCCCAGCCTCACCCCTCCCCCGCCCCGGATGCTGAGCAGCCTGGCTGGTTTAATGATTGGCGATTCTCAAGGACTGGCCCAGGGTCGCACTAAAGCTTCCACGAACCTTGGCGCTCACCGGGATAGGGTGCTGGAGTTGGGGAGGGGGGGCGGGGGAGGGGCTGGCAGACGCTCCCCTGGGGGCTTCCTCCCCCATTAAGCTGGTCTAGCCCCAGCAGGGTGCCCCACCCCCCGAGGCCTGGTGGGGGGCTGTCGGAGCCCAGGCTCAGCAGAGGTGCTGGAACCAGCCGCTGGGGGGGCAGGGGCGCTCCCACGCTCCCCTTCCCCCCGGCTCCGCGGGTCGAATTCAGGGACCATTGTCCAACTTGGCCCCGAGCAAACACTCGGTCTTTGTTCCCGGGACCCTGAGGGAGGGGCGGGGGGGCCCCCCTGAGGCTGCCCCCTCCCCCAACCTGGCCTGCAAACCGGCCCGACAGGTTGGGGCGCCGCCCGAGGCCCCCAGTTCACGGCGGCCCGAGGCCCAGCGTTTCCCTGCGTCGCTCTCAGGCCCGTGGGGGACAGTCAGAGACGCGCCCCGGACGGACACGCGAGGGTTCGAGTCCCAGCGGCTCGGGGCGGTCCGGGGGTGCGGGTGTCTTGTACGTACACACACACACACACGCGCGCACCAGCACCCACGGGGAACGCTGACCCCGGCGTGGAGGGGCCGGTGGTTCCCCGGCGGGGTCGCGGCCGCGCCCCCCATCCCCGACGCGCCCCAGCCCGGCTCCGCCCGCGCGTGAATCACCCGCTGGGCGGGAGGGGCGGGAAGGGGGGCGCGGTGGCCCCCAAGTCGCCGCTTCCTGCAGCAGCCGCGCAGGGCGTTGCGGGGCAGTGCGCGCTCGGGCAGGCAGGGCCCGGGTTCCAGAGCTCGGGACGCGCGGGAGAAACTGAGGCAGCCGGCGAAGGGGGCGGCTGCGAGTCGCCGCGCCCCGCCTAAGGGTCTCTCTTCGGCGCTCCTCCGCCTCCTGGGGGGGCTCCGGGGATTCGGGGTGCAGCGGCGCCCCGCAGCCGCCCTCCAGCTCTGGGTGTCCGGTTCGGGAACGGTCCCCCGCACCCCGGGCCCCCCGACTCTTACCGACCAGCACGCACAGCACGTCGAGCAGCACGAACACCCACCTCCGCTCCATGCCGCCCCCGCCCCGGGCCGCGCCCGCGACCCCCCGCGCGTCCCGTCCCGTCGCGTCCCGGCTGGGCCGCGGGTCACATGGCCCGACCGTGGGGAGGGCCGGGGCGCGGCGGGCGGCGGGCGGGGCGCCCCGGGAGGGGGCGGACTCTGCCCCCGCCCCGCCCGGCGCCCCGGGGAGCGCGCGAGCGGGGATCTGGGGGGTCCCCCGGCCTGAGGTCAGCGGGGGGGCCGGGCTCCGAGGCGGGGAGGGGCTGTCAGCTCTCAAACCCTCCCCCCTGCAGGTGGGGAGGCTTGGGCCTGTCCCGGGGGAGTGGGGGGACCCCGCGCGCGCGCGCCCCGGGGATCCGGACGGCTCAGGGAGGGATGGGGAAGGGGCGCACCGGCCGGGAGTGTGGGGCGCTTCGGGGAGGCCGATCCCCAAGCCCCGGCCGCACCCTGCGTGCGCGTCTGATTTCCGCCGGTGCCTCCGAATTCACCGATACCACCGGAGGCATCGCTGGCGCGGTCCACGCCTGCACCCCGGGACCGGGCCCGGCTTCTGGAAGGGCGCGCCCCCTCCACACCCAACGCCGTCCGCCCGGAGCCCTAACGTGGGGACGCTCCCTGGGAGGGGTCAAGGGCAGAGCCTGCTTGCAAGCTGGGGCTCCAGCCCACCCCGCCCCAACGCACCCCCACCTTACAGGCTGGTTGGAACCTTTTTTTTTCTTCTGTCTTTTGGGGCCACTCCCAGAGATGCGCAGGGCTGACTCCTGGCTCTGCGCTCAGGGATCACTCCTGGCAGGGCTCCTGGGACACTGCCGGGATGCTGAGGAGCTATAACCGGGCTGGCCACGTGCAAGGCAAATGACCTCCCCGCTGTCCTACAGCTCCAGTCCCTGGGTTGAAACCTTGAGATTCAGTTTCCTGCCCGGGAAACTCGCAGCAGTGTTGTCCTCCAGGGTTGACTGGGCACCCCCAGGCCTGTCCCCACGTCCTCCCCGCTCATGCTGGCTGGGGTCTGAGGAAGCTGTGTCGTGGGGAGGGTCGGCAGTCCTGGACACTCTATCCCGCACACTGGGAGGAGCGGCGGGGGCATCCAGGTCTCCATGGAAACTAACCCAGGTTTCCCCTCTGGGGTGCGCCCGGAGGACCTTCCATTGCATCCAAAAACCTGTTTCCTCTGCCCCCTCTCTTCCGCCTAAGTGCCAGTTGATCCAGGGGTGTGCTGACGTTTGGGGGTGCTGGGAGTAGTGAGGAAAGAATGCTCCCCCCCGCTTTTTTTTGTCTTGGGGCCACAACAGGCAGGGCTCAGGAGGGCCCCTTTTAAGTCTGGAGACTCCCAGAGGTGCTCCCGGAGGTCAGCTGGGGGTTGGGGGGGAGAAAGGAAGCAGGGAGCCTGGGGTCCCTTCTCCCTGCTGACCTGCCAGTGTCCAGGTCGGATTAAGAGCTGGGGAGGGCTAGGATTGGGGTCGGATTAGGATTGGGGTCAGCACTCTGGAGTCCTGCCCCGTGTCCCACCCCCGCCCCCCAGCCAGGCCAGAGCTGCTACACTCCCTTACTCCGCCCACCTCCTGGCCCCTGGGGGGGACCCAAGAGCCCCTCACAGCAGGGGGCGGCTCCAGGTCTGCCAACAACTGGGGTGTCGGCCGGCCACCCGCCCCAGCAGCGTTTGGGAGGCAGCCGCCGCGGCTTCAACTCAAGTTTAATAATAATAAATAAAAACAGCAAAGGGGGTGAAGGCAGTGGCCACAGTGCGGGCCCGGGCGCTGGGGGCGCAGGTGGGGCCCGGCCGGCTCTGCAGGCCCCTCCTGGTGACACCCGGGGCGGGGGGTGGGGGGAGGCGGGGGGGCGCTACTCGACCCCCCACACACACCCGGGAGGACCCCACTCGGACTTGTAAACAGAAACATAAATAAATGGAGGGCAGCCGGGAGGAGGCAGCGAACCCAGGCCCCAGAGGCTGGCTGGGGCGCTTCTGTTCAACGGAATGGGGGTCGCGGGGTGGAGGCGGGCTGGACCCGAGGGGTGTCGGTCCCCTGTCTCCTGAGCCCCCGAGGCAGAAGAGGGGCCCCAGGGGGGCAGTAAAGTGCGGCTATTCCTGAAGTGGAGAGAAGGGCGGAGGTGGGGGCTGGGCCGGCGTCTGTCGAGGTATATGGCTCTGCGCCCCCCGGTTTGGCACGCGAAGCAGCTGCCCAGGGCCCTGCCGGGGTGCGGGAGACGGAGCCGAGCAGGGTGTCAAGGGCCTCCGGGGCGAAGGCTGCTGGTGGGGGCAGGGCCGGGGGCGTCCTGCCCTGTCCGTCTGTCCATCCGTCTCCCCGTGGGGGCGCGGAGAGGCCCTTCCTCGCCTCTGTGGGTTGGACGAGCCGGCGCGGTCCCACGTGGGAGGCTGCGTGCTGGGCACCCAAGGTGCCAATCTATGTGTGGGGGGGGGGGCAGGCCAGGCACCCCGAGTCTCTGAAGTGTTCGGAAGCAGAAGGCATCTCCCCCGAGGCCCTGGACGGCAGGGTCGGGAGGACCCAGGCCACCCCCGCGATGGCCCCAAGTCCAGTCTGGGCCCCACATGCCCGCCTGCGGCCAGACTTCAACAGGTCATCACATTACAGCTGCAGGGGAGAAAGCGAGCGAGCGAGAGGGAGGGAGGGGGGAGAGATAGAGAGAGAGCGAGAGAGAGAGAGAGAAAACATGACAAAGAATAAAGAGAATAAGAAAGAAGAGAAAGGAGAGTGAGAAAACAAGAGGAAAAAAAGAAAGCAAGAGACAGCAAGAAAGCAAGAAGGGGAGAGAGAGAGAGAGAGAGAGAGAGAGAGAGAGAGAGAGAGAGAGAGAGAGAGGGGGTCAGCCGGGCCCAGCCCAGCCCCCGGCAGCTCTGTCCCTGGTGCCTGGGGGGCGGAGGGGGGCAGGGGGAGCCTGGCCGCCCCGCTGTACCTGTTTGGATTTGGAACCATATGAATGTATTACCTAGTCAAAGAAAACACAAAATGAGCCAGATGAACGGTCGGGACTCAGGGAGGGCCCCGACACACCTGCCTGGGGGCCAGCCCGCCCCCCCCAGCCCCACCCCCGCCGCACACTCACTGTGACAGGGGCTCCGAATGCAGGCCGGGCGCCGGGCACGCAGAGTGGGCGGCCAGGAAGGGATTCACGTCCCCGATGCCCAGGAGTCCGAAGTCGGTGACAGACAAGGCCACCTGCGCGGGCGCCACAGCCGGGGCGGCTCCTCCGCTGAGGTCAGCGCGGCCTGAGAGCAGGGACACGTCCTCGGGGAGGGCCCCGGGCACTGCCAGGTCCACGGCCAGGCTGGGGCTGGGGCTGGGCTCGGGCGCGGCCGCCTCCGGGGGGCAGAAGGCCTCTGGGGGGCGCTGGGGCGCAGGCTCAGCTGGAGGGGCGGCGGGCAGCGGGCAGAGGCAGGGCCCGGGCTCCAAGGCGGGCAGGCCACTGGAGCCCGCCGGCAGCTCGCTATGGAGACTGGGCGACTCTGCAGGGGATGAAGGAGACAGACCTGACACCAGGACCTTGGTGAACCCCGAGTCCAGTGCCTTCGAACCCAGAAGAACCTAATGGAGGAGCTGGAGCAATCGCATAGCGGGGAGGGCGTTTTGCCTTGCACGCGGCAGACCCGGGTGCGATTCCCAGCATCGCATACGGTCCCCAAGCATCGCCAGGGGTGATTCCTGAGTGCAGAGCCAGGAGTAGTAACCCCTGTGCATCCCGAGTGTGACCCAAAAAGCAAAAAAAAAACAAAACAAAAAACCCCACCAACCTAATGGAGCCAATTTCCCTGCAAATACAAGTACCCACGGCTGGCAAAGAAGCACGGGGCTGGCCACAGAAACTTCCTCGGCCATTAAACCACAGGGACGGGGCCTGGGACCCTAAGTTCCCAGGAGTCCCAAAGCACAGACCCAGAGGGACAAAGCCCTGACCTCATGAATGGCTGGAACTGAGCTGCCCCGCCCCCCCAACCTCCCCTCCACTCCATGGTGGGCATAGGCCCCACCCTCCCAGCTTCAGGGCCCCGATAGGGGATCCCACTTCCAGGCATGGGGTGCATGGGGTACCCCGCCAGGTGCCCAAACGCCACAGCTCCCCACTGCCAAGGCGCCTCAGCGTCCTCCGGGGTGGGGCGCAAACCACACTCACCCAAGCACATCTGTGTCAGGGGTTCTCCCTGGGCGCCAAGGTTGTCGGTGCCCGGGGGCAGAGGCGGCGAAGAGCGGGGGCGGCCTGGGCCTTCTGGGTCAGCGGTGTCCAGGTCCTGGTCTGTGTCCCTAGAGGGGGCAGACTCCGTGAGCAGCAGCGGGGACCCCTTGCCTGGTTCCGGACGGAGCTCCCCTCCCATCCCCGCCCAGGTGTGCTGAGCGTTCACGCACGTGGTCCCCGATGGGCCGTACTTCCGGCGGCCCAGCCGCGTCTGCTGGGAGAAGTAGTCGTAGCGCTCGGACTTCTTCCACAGGTAGTAGTACTCCACACACTCGCCTACCGAGCGCGTGCGCACCTGGTGGACGGCAAGGTGTGTTGGCCTGGGGCCAACAGCACCACACACCCACCAGGCCTTCCCAGGATCCACCTAAGTTCACCCAAACCCCCCCAGCAATACCGAGTCCTAGACCCCGCAGATAGAGACCCCAGCCCAGTGCAAAGGTGTCCCCAATGCCCCCGGGACTGCTATCCCGTATCATATGGGACACAGAATCTACTCTGAACCCGCAAAGCAGGAGAAACCCAAGAAGCCAACAGCATCTCCGAGATGGGGCGCACCCCCTGCCCCAAAACCAAGTCTGACTGAGGGGGCCGGGGCTGGAAAGGATGGAGAGAACGGCTGGGGAGCGGGGGAGGGGTGTGTCCTGAGCAGGCAGGCCCCAGAGAGAAAGCACCTCCTGGCCAGCTCGCAGGCCTCACCTTGTTGGCCTGGATCAGGTGGAAGTTCTTGCCGTGCACGCGGAAGCCGTGTTCGAAGTTCCTGCACTCCTCCTCGCTCCACGCACACATGCCCTCTGCGATGGGGGGAGCGGAAGTGGGAGGGAGGGCATGGGGGATACGGGCAGAGCGAGTGGGCAAGGGGCGGGGCAAGCAGAGAAAGGGGCGGGGCAAAGAGGATTATGGGCGGAACAAGTGAGCAAGGGGCGGGGCAAGTAGAGAAAGGGGCGGGGCAGATTATGGGCAGGGGCGGGGCAAGTAGAGAAAGGGGCGGGGCAGATTATGGGCGGAAGGAGTGGGAAAGGAGCTGGGGTGGGCGTGGCAACTGGGGAAGGGCGTGGCAACTGGAAAGGGGCGTGTCCGCAGGAAAGGGGGCGTGGCAGAGCGCCTGGCCACTCACCTCTGATCACCTTGACATTGAAGCGCAGCCTCCGCAGCGCCTCCTCGGCATTGAAGCGGCATTTGACCAGCTCGTACAGCGCCTGCTGGCGGGCACAGTGACCGTCCCACCCGGGACCCCGAGTCCCAGTCCGGAGTCAGGGGAGGGCACATCGTTTTCACCTGAACCCCCCTCCCAAGGCGCCACACCAATCCCTCCCGCTCCCTCCGTGCACCCGGACCCCCAGCCCACCTGCTCACTGTCCTTCACCGTCTCGCCCTCTGGGACCTGCGACCCTGCCATCTCATGCCAACGCCGCTTCACCGCGCGGTATAGAAACTCCTCCACCTCCCTCTCGGGGAGGACATTGGGGTCCCACAGCAGCTGGTCTTCGTTCTCATAGACTACAAGAGAGCAGGGGGGTCGTGGCGGCTCCGGGGAGTTAGCAGGATCCAAGGTCCGGGTCCTCAGGATGCAGGGTTTGATGCAGGGACGACCCCTTCCCCCCGGGGGGACTGCAACAGGCTGGTGGGTAGCAGTTTCACCAGCCCTCATGTGCAGCCAGGGCCACCAGAAGTTGAGAGAAAAATGCCAGCATCGTATGTGCGTGCGTGTAAAGGACCAGAGAGCATTCCTGGAGGAAGGAACGTGACGAGGGGCTCTCCAGCAACCACTTGCTTCCAGCCAGAGGCGGACCGGATGGGAGATGGACAGGACTCAAGGGAAGGAATGGGGACCACTGGGGTGGGGTGGGGGGCACCGAAGGCCAGAGAAGGTAAGCGATGGGGCTGGGCAGGCAGGAACTCCCAGGGGCGGGGCACAGACATCAGGCAACTCCCCCCTCTTAAGCCCCACACACCCCCGCCCCCCTCATCCCTGGCCCCCTTACTTTTCTCGGCCTGGCGCTGCAGGTGCAGGGTGCTGAGGTCAGCCTGGAACTGGGGCCCCACCATGATCTCCTACAGAGGTGGAGTGTGGATGTCTTAACACCGGGCCCCCAGAAATCCGCCAGCTGGCCCAGGGTGTTCCCAGAGCCAGAAGGAGTGATGGGGTGTTAAGGTGCACACATGCGGCTGGGCCAGCCAGGAGTGCCCTGTGATCCAAGCACAGTGCCCAATCCCCGGGTCCCCCTGGGCGGAAGGGGGCCGCCCCCAGGATGAGTGTGACAGTGCCGGATGTGTGTGCACGCGCCAGTGATGTCCAGCCAGTCCTGCCGCCGTGAGGACTCCAGCCTCCAGCCTGGGGAGCGCGTGTACCTTCTTACACTTGTTGGCGGGCAGAGGGTCCTCGTCGGCGTCGGAGGAGGCAGAGGACGGGCGCTCCTTTTCCACGCCAGTCTCGGCCAGGAAGCGGCCTTGGGGAAAAGGCGACGGGGGCCACATTCTGACACCAGCTGGGCAGCCCCACTCCCCGCTCCCTGGCCCTCCCCGATCCCCAGCCCCCACCCCAGGGGGGGGCTTTGATGGAGCCAGGTCCCCCCCAGACCCCCACCTCCACTCTGGGCAGGGAACAGGTCTGGGGCCTCGCGGGAGGTGACGGCAGGAACGTGGTGGGCGGCCGCAGGCTGGGGCTCCTCCTCCCCGGCCAGCAAATCCTTCGCCATCTGCTCCTGGGACGGGAAAGGCTTATTGGTCGCCGGCTCAGGTACCAAGGGTGGTATCACAGGGACACTGGACGTGGGGCTCCCTGGTGGGGTCGGGGTTCCCAGCGGGGCTCAGGAAGGCTGCTATTGGCAGGGAAATGGCGGGCATCTCCTCCACCCGTCACCAAAGGACCTTCTGGCTGCCGGACTCCCACCCAGCCCTCCCCAGGGACAGGTGTGTGTGTGGTCCGGACGCTCCCACCTTGTCCGGGGTCATGTCTGGGAGGTGTGAAGAGGTCTCGCTGCCCTCGCTGTCCCGGTCAGAGGTGGGATCCGACGCCTCGTAGCTGTAGAGCGCGAGTAGCTCCTGCAGAGGCATGTCGCTCCTCTGGGGGTGCAGGGTGGGGTCGGGGGGCTGCTGGGGTACATGGCAGGGCTGGGGGGACTGCTGGAGGGACAAGGCAAGGTCAGGGGCTGCTGGGGGGTGGAGGCTGCAGGGTACCAGGAGGGTACAGTCGGCTCTGCCCTGTGAAGCAGGAATGACGCGCCCCCTCCCGCCCCCCAACATCCCCCTCCCAAACACACACACTATAGGACCAAAGTCGGTGACTCCTGTTCCTGAGGAGGAGAAAAAAGTCCCACGGCTTCAGCCCATGTTGCCCTTTCAGACCTTGCGCCGTGAACCCCCACGGAGGCAGGCCGGGTTTTCACAGGCACAAAAGGAAAGGCCCAGATGTTTCTCTGTGTGGGCCACAGCCTCCTCTAAAGCCCCAGGTGTGTGTCAGGCTGGTTGGGGTGCAGAGGGGGCCAGGCACTGAGGCCTGACGGCCAGAGCCCAGCTCCCAGCAACCAGTACCCGGGACGCAGGCAGACGGGCCGGGGCCGCACCTGGGATCCGAAGTGCTTGTCCAGCTCCTCCTCGGGCTGTTCAGGGCCCCGGGCCGCCTCGCTGCTCCCCTCCCGGACGCCGTAGCTCTGTGACAGGATCTCGGCGAGGCTGAAGCGGTGGTCGGCAGAGCCCATGGGCACCACTGCGGGCGGGGGGACAGGGGGGAGGATGCCAGTCTGCCGGGTTCCCGGTGCCAGCCTCACCCCTCATGCAGAAGCCGGGGACACGGGGCTGGTCAATGGCACCGGGGACCAAGCACCACACACGGGACCCCGGGTGTGTGGGCGCACACGTGAATACGTGCAAAGGTGTGGATGTTAGGTGCACGTGTGTACACAACGGGAGGGGAGGGGAGGGCCAGGAAGAGCTGCGAGCGATCAAGTTGGGGGTGGGTGGAGAGACCAGAAGGGCTGGACAGCAGGCCTGGAGCAGCTCCCTGGCGTGGGCCAGGCCCCCCGCTCCTGAAATGCAGGGCCGCGGCCTGCACCCCGGCCTGAGAGAGCCCCGGAACTGCTCGCGAGGCAGTAGAGAGGCCACAGGGAAGGTCGTACCTGCTGCTGTCTGCAGTGCCGGCTGCCCCGGGCACAGGCTGTGCGAGAGGCAGGAGGCCACGCAAGGACTCTGCCTCTCCAGCGGGGAGGCCTGCGGAGGGACAGAGGAGACAGATGTGAGGTGGCGGCCGTGGGCCACGAGAGGCTGGTGAGGGGCTGGAGTGATAGCACAGCGGGCAGGGCGTTTGCCTTGCACGTGGCCGACCCGAGTTCGATTCCCATCCCATAAGGCCTCCCGAGCACCGCCAGGAGTAATTTCTGAGTGCAGAGTCAGGAGTTACCCCTGAGCATTGCTGGGTGTGATCCAAAAAGCAAAAAAAAAAAAAAAGTCCCCTGAAGATATAGGAAGCACTGCCACAACTAAAGAGAGGGGATGGGCTTCCTTTTTTTTGGGGGGGGGGGGGTGATAGAATGTTCTGGAAGGACTTTGAGGAAGTGGGAGCTCCCCTTTATGAAGAGCTATTTCAGGAACAACCCCCTCTCGCACTGTAAAATAATCTAGGCTTGGGGCTGGAGCAACAGCACAGCAGGTAGGGTGTTTGCCTTGCACGGGTTCGATTCCCAGCATCCCCATATGGTCCCCCAAGCACTGCCAGGAGTAATTTCTGAGTGCAAAAGCCAGGAGTAACCCCTCTGCATCTCCGGGCATGACTCAAAAAGAAAAAAGAGCCCCAGCACAGTTAACGAGTCTCGGCCTTCCCAGGGTTCAACCCCAAACACCCCAAGAAGGGCAGCAGTGGGCAACCTCCCCCCACACCCAGAACTCAGCCTTCAAAGGCAAATCAGCCACTCTGGAGAAAGGTGCAACTGATTCGCCCTAAAAGCTGCCACTTCCCGAGGACACCCGTACCAAGAACTGGTCAGACGCTCTGGTAAAAACTCGACACCCAGGGCTGGAGAGATAGCAGAGCGGGTAAGGTGTTTGCCTTACACGTGGCCGACCCGGGTTTGATTCCCAGCATCCCATAGGGTCCCCCGAGCACCGCCAGGAGTAACTCCTGAGTGCAGAGCCAGGAGAAACCCCTGAGCATCGCTGGGTATAACCCAAAAAGGGGAAAAAAAAAACTCAACACCCATGTCGACAGCAACATGGTACAGCTGGGGCCATGGGGGCCAAATGGGAGCCACGGCACGGGCACGCCCCACAGCGCAGACAAACATGCCTGTCCCCCACCCGGTACACCCTGCAGCCACAGGGGAGGGCGGCTCTGACACCCGCAATTCTGGGACCCCTTCGACACGACACTGGGGGAGCAAGCTGACCCCCTCCTATTCTCTCTCTCACACAGGGTGGGATCCTGAGGATACAAGGGTCCAGAACACGCCCCATCCACAGGCAGGAAGGAGGTCTGTAGTGCCAGGGCCACAGAGAAGGGGGAAGGAACACCTTGAGGGGAAATGGAATGTCCTGGAATTGATGGTGGTGGTAGTTCCCACCAATGGACTAATTACCGCCCCTTCCACTTTCCACCAGTCGACGTCCCAAGACATGAACCTTTACTGAAGTCAAGACAAAAACTAAAAAGATATTTTAAAAAGTTTAACAAATGAGGGGGCTGAGCGTTAGTACAGCAAGGAAAGCATCTGCCTTGCACATGGTTCGATTCCCGGTACCCTGTAGGGTCCCCCGGGGCAACTGCCAGGAGTAATTTCTGAGTGCAAAGTCCACGGCCCCAAAACCAAATCCAAAAATAATAACAACAAATGAAGGGATTCAGGCAGGACTGGAGCAGAGGGGCACAGGGCCTGGGGTTCGAACCCTGGTACCGCTTGGCCCAAGCCCCAGCAGTTAACAAGCCTCCCCACCCCAGCCCCACCTCCAAAAAAGATCTGTCACTATCACTGTCCTCCCGTTGTTCATCCATTTGCTCGAGCGGGCCCAGTAACATTGTGAGACTTGTTACTGCATTTGGCATATCGAATACACCACGGGGGAACTTGCCAGGCTTTGCCGTGCGGGCAAGATACTCTCGGTAGCTTGCCGGGCTCTCAAGCAAGATCAGGAATAAAAAAAAGTTTCAGGATTTCCACACTGCTGCATAAACTGGGCCTCAGAAGGACTCATCCCATGCCCCTCAGTGAGCACAAGGGATGTGGAGTCCAGAAGAAAAGGCAAATTCGGGCAGCAAATGGGCAACTCAATGACGCAGCCCTGGGCAGTCTGGGGAGCCCAGACACTAGAACCAACGGCTGGGGGACAGCAGCCCAGGGTCTTCATTGGACGGGGAGAACTGGGGACGGAGTTCTGGGGGACCTCCCAGAGAACAAGGGCTCAAGTTCTGTTTCTGGGGGGTGGAGGGGTGCTCAGACCCGCGCGTGGAAGTGCTCAGGGGTGGTGGACTCGGTGGACTCCTGGCAGGACTCGGTGGAAAGTGCTCAGGGGTGAGCGCGTGGAAGTGCTCAGGGGTGGTGGACTCGGTGGACTCCTGGCAGGACTCGGTGGTGCCAGGAATGGAACTGGATTGGGCTGCGTGCAAGGCCGGCACCTTAATCCCTCAAACTATGTCTTCTGCTGACCACCCAAGCTCTAAATGTCGAGAGCTGTGTTGGGGAGTCCAGCCCCCCCCTCCCAGCAGCAGAGGGGGTACAATAAGCCCAGGCGATGGGGCCAGCAGTAGGGAGCTCTGAGGGGGGCCCATGGCTGGCCGGGGGCACCGTCACCGGAGATCACCCTGTAGGGTCACGTGTGCGGTGAGCCCCCCCGCAAAGCTCTGCGACCATACAGCCTCCGGGGCCCTGGAAATAGAGCCCGAGCACGGGCCCACCACCGAGGCCAAGCGTGGGGTCGCCCCAGGCCCCGGGACACCCACACATCACGCTTTCCTGGGGTTACGCTGCACCCCTGGTGGGCTCGGGGGACCCTAGGGGGTGCGGGGGGATCGAACCCAGGTCAGCTACTTACAAGGAAGGTGCCCTCTGCGCTGGACTACCGCTTGGGCCACCAACAGTGGAGAGCGCTGACGTCACAGACCGCGCGAGACTTCGCGCGTGCGACCTCGCGAGACCTTCCAACCCGCGCTCCCAAGAGGTGGAGCCCTGAGCAGCGCCTGCGCCCTGCACTCGGACCGACCCCCACCCAAGACCCGGGCCCCCAATTCCCAGCTCGCCTCCCATCCGTGCAAAGCTGTGCGCCTGGCGAGTCCAGAGGGCTGGCCCCAAATCCCCGAGCGCGCTCTCAGGGACGCAATATGCGCCTGGAAGATGCTCCAGGAAGACCCGAGGCCCCAGGTTCGACCCCAGCAATAGGAGGACCCCCCGGAAGCTCTACAGAGCACGGCCTCAGTGGCCTCCAGCACCACTGCCCCGTCCGGTCAAGGCCCACACAAGGGGGAAAAACGGCCCCCTGTGACGGGCATGGAGCTATTTGGAGTCTGCGTGGGACGGGTCCGTTTCTGTCCCAATCCCAATGGTCCATAAAGCACGCAGGGGCCGGCGAGAACAGATGAAGGCGCACACGCAGCCAACTAGGGTTCGATTCCGGGCACCCTACAGGGTCCTCCAAGCCCCGCCAGAAGTGATCCCTGAGCACAAAGCCAGGAGTAAGGCCGTGGTTATGCCCTGTATGGCCCTCCAAACCAAAAGGAAAGAACGAAATACTCATTCCAAATACACCTGATTTCAAAACTTTTTGGGGAGGTTGGTGTCGCTCATAACGCTGGGTGCACAGGGAGCCGGGGATCCAACCTGGGCTCCCTGCACGCAGTGCTCGCGCCCCTGCCCGCTGAGCCATCTCTCCAGGCAGGCCGCCCCCTCCCACCCCACCCCCGGGACTTCTTTCGAGGGGTGGCGAAATCCAGAGGGTCAGGAGGTCCCAGCCTTCAAGGTCCCGAGGCGGCCTCTTTCCCTTCAGACCAGAGGGCGCCGCCCCAAGACCCCGCAACCCTCCAAAGTTAGCCCCAGACCCCGCAACCCTCCAAAGTTAGCCCCAGACCCCGCAATCCTCCAAAGTTAGCCCCAAGGAGGAAGGGGGTCGAGGTGTTCGGAACCAGGCCCAAGAATTAACTGCGAACTGAGGCTGGGGGCTGAGAGCGGGGTTCCGGGGGTCTGGGCCTGGGGATCGAGGCTGCAAAGTGGCCAGGATGAAGGTGCCGGGGTGCGGTCTGGAAAGGTCAGTCCGGAGGGTTTATTCCCCAGATCAGGGGGTCAACTGGGAAAGAGGGAACATCACCAGTGGGAGATCTGGGGGTTGGGCGGTTAGGGACCGGGGTCCGGAGCTCGGAGTCTGGGGAAGGGGTCCGCACTGCATGGGGCAGAGAGGTTGGGGTCCTCCGGGCGGGGTGAGGGCGGGTTAAGGGGCCCGGGCATCGGGGTTTGCAGTCAGGGGCCGGAGGAAGCGGGGTGCGGTACAGGTCAAGGGCTGCGGGCTGGACACCGCTGGGGTTCCGGAGTCGAGGGGCCCGGGAGGCTGGGGGCCCGGGGTTCCGGTCCGCTTGCGACAGGGACGCGCGCCCCGCCCCCTCCCGCGCGCCCCCGGCCCGCCCGCGCCGCGCGCCCGCACATGCGCACTGCAGCCCGCGATGTGGCAGCCGGGAGGGGGGTTCGGCCCGGGGGCGGCAGCGGACCGAGCACCTCGCCCCCGAGCCTCCGTCGGGTCCGACCCGGCCCAGTCCCGGAGTCCCGGAGCCGGGCTGCCGGTGCCAGGGCCCAGGGCAGCCGAGCCAGGGCAGGCGGGCGTGTGAGGACGGCTCCCCCGGCGCTCACTCACCTCCGCCATGGCCGTGTGTGCGCGGGAGGCGGCGCCGCGCCGGGAGCCCCGGATGCGGGTCCGAGCGCTCATTGGCTCCCTCGCCGGAGAGGGCGTGTCCGCGGGGACGGCGGGGGCGTGGCAGGGGGCGTGGCGGCGGCCGTTGGGCGGGGCCACGCGGGGCGCGCGCGCTCGGGGACGCGGGCGCGCGCACGGGGGGTTGGACCGGGGGGGGGGGGGGGGGCGGGGGGCGAGGGCGAGCCGGGGACCCTGGGAGGAGGACTTGGGGGCGCGAGAATCAAATGGCGTCTTCCCGAGACCCCGCTCTCATACCCTCCCCACCCCATGGCTGAGTGTGATAGTGTGGAAACTGAGGCCAGAGTGATGACTGCTCAGGGTTTGAGTGCTCAGGGCTTGACATCGGGGCGACAGGGTCTGGAAGTTTCCTCACCCTTTACCCCAGTAAAGAGCAATCCCGAGTCCCAAAAGGCAATAGGAGAAGTTGCGGGGAAAAAAAGAAATAAATAAGGGACCTGGAGCTTTGAAAACCTTGGTTCCACCAACTGGGTCCCATTGGAGCCACGGATGCGTTGAAAGTCACTTATTGAATACTTTGGGACCCTTAGCACATTCTGAGTCCATGCTGGGGGCTGGAACTGGAGCTAGCGTGAAAGTGGAGGCGGTGTGAACCACATAACGCTAACAGGGATTTTGTCCCCTAATCCATTCCTGGCTGAGGACTGGAGAGGTTGCAGTTCAATGGGCTGCAGTCCATCCTTGACTCCATCCTGACACCGCGTGATCCCCTGCCCCGCCCCAATCCCAGCACCACCAGGTGAGAGCCCCGAACATTGAGCCCGGAAGAGCCAGAGCACCTCTCAAGTTCCTGCCAAGTGCTGGGATGACTTAAGGAGGGGGAAGGTGGTATGGAAGGGAAGTCAGAAAAGTGAACCCCAAAAGATGCACTCAAGAGGGAAAAGAGGGACCATAGCAGTGGCACAGTGGGGAGGGCACTTGCCTTGCAGTTGGTCAACCCGGGTTCAATCCCATATGGAGAACTGGAGCGATAGTACAGCGGGTAGGGCGTTTGCCTTGCACGTGGCCGACCTGGGTTCAATCCCCGGCATCCCACATGGTCCCCTGAGTAATGCCAAGAGTAATACCTGAGTGCAGAGCCCAGAGTAACTACCCTGATCATCGCCAGGTGTGACTTCAAAAGTAAAGTACTACTAATAAAATCAATCCCATATGGTTCCCGGCATCCCATATGGTTCCCTGAGCACTGCCAGGGATACTTCCTGAGTGCAGAGCCAGGAGAAACCCCTGAGCATCGCCAGGTGTGGCTCAATCCCCCCACAAACCCTCAAAAGAAGGAGAGAGCTCATGGGATGATGCCTCATTTGCACGCATAAATGGTGTGGGGTGTGGGTTCTTACTGAAACCAGGAGGAACGGGATTGAGGAAGTGCACAAGTACTGTTCCCCAAGAGCACTGTTCTCCAAGAGCACTGTGCTCCCCTCAGCTAGGTGCCCACTGGGACAGAGAAGTTGAGATGGACAAGTTTGGTGAATGCTTGACCTAAAGAAGGGCATGTCGTACTCTCGGGACCTCACCTGCCCACAGGAGGAGAAACAACCTATGACAGGTCTGTAAGGGTCTTTGGGAGCTAGAACTTTCTCTCTTCTCTCTCTCTCTCTCTCTCTCTCTCTCTCTTTCCTCCTCCTCCTCCTCTTCCCCTCCTTCCCTCTCACTTCCCTCCCTTTCTTTCCCTCCCTCCCTCCCTTGCCTCTCTCCCTCTTTTTTTTTTCTTTTTGGGTCACACCCAGCATGCACAGGGCTTCCTCCTGGCTCTGCGCTCAGGAATTACCCCTGGCGGTGCTCAGGGGACCCTATGGGATGCTGGGAATCGAACCCAGGTTGGCCTCGAGCAAGACAAATGCCCTACCCGCTGTGCTATTGCTCCAGCCCCCTCCTCTCTCCCTTTTAGCCTTCCTTCCCTCCCTCCCTCCTCTCCCTTCCTTCTCTTCTTCCCTCCCTCCCTCCTCTCCCTTCCTTCTCTTCTTCCCTCCTTCCCTCTCTTTCTCCTTCCTTCCTTCCTCCCTTCTCACCAAATGCTCAAGTGCTCTTCCTGACTCTGTGCTCAGGAGCGTTCCTGGCGGGGCTACAGAATGCCTTGTGCAGCGCTGGGGATTCGAACTTAGTGGGCAAGAGGCAAGACAAGTGTCTTTCCCTGATGAATTCTCCCTCCAGCTCCTGTTCTCTTGCATTCTTGCCAGGACCCACCTGCACAAAGAGATCACGGGCAGCCCTGGAATAGGTGGGGTCTCCAAGAGATGCGGGCAGGGGTGTCTGTGAGTAATACACCTGACCAGAAACAGGAAAAGGGCTCGATAGAGCCTGGGGCATCCAGATGCAAGTCAGGCAGAACTTGACAGCAATCAGGCTGGAGAGAGAGCACAGTAGGGAGGGCACCTGCCTTACATGTAGCTGACCCGGTTCAATCCCCGGCACCACTGGGTCCCCTGAGCCCTCTGCCAGGAGTGAACCCTGTGCCCAGAGCCAGGAGTAAAACCACAAAACAACAAAATGAACTTTGAAGGAATCATCAAATTGTCATCCTCTGGGGAAGGGGTTGGAGGGGTGGGAGGAGAATAGAATGATCTGCTAAGACCCCTGGGTTTCCTCTTCTTCATTTTTTGGGTTTTGTTTATGGGCCACACCCAGCTGTGCTCAGGGCTGCCTCCTGGCTCCGTGCTCCTGGTGGAATCAAATCCAGGTTGGCCATGCACTGAGCAAGTGTCCTACCCACTGACTTATTTCTCCAGTCCCTTCTCTGTGTCTCTCCTCAGAGGAGCGGTCAGTGGCTGAGCAGAACCTGCCAACCGCGCGGTAAGAAATGAACTCATGAATTAGGGTTCAGGACTGGAGCAAGAGTAGAGTGTGGAAGGTGCTTGAACTGTGCGTGGTCAATCCTAGTTCGATCCCCGGCATCCCATAGGGTCTCCTGAGCACCAGCAGGAGTTGTGAGTGAAGAGCCAGTAGTAACCCTTGAGCATCATTGGGTGTGGTCCCCCCCCCCAAAAAAAACAATAAAATAAAACTGATTTGAGATGGAAGAGAAGCCCGGGAAGAAGACAGAGCCCGGGATCACTGCTGCAGAATCAGGGAGCGAACTGGGACTCCTACATGCAAAGTTTGTACTTGAACCTTGAGCCAACTCCTCTGTATCTCATGTTTTCTTTACTTTTTTGGGGGGGGGGGTCACACCCGGCGATGCACAGGAGTTACTCCTGGCTCATGCACTCAGGAATTACTCCTGGCGGTGCTCGGGGGACCCTATGGGATGCTGGGAATCGAACCTAGGTCGGCTGTGTGCAAGGCAAACGCCCTACTCACTGTGCTATTGCTCCAGTTCCTACTTTTTTTTTTAACGTATTTTTGTATTTTTTAATGAATCACCGTGAGGTACAGTTACAGACTTACAAACCTTCGTGCTTATGTTTCACTCATACAATGATCAAGCACCCATCCCTCCACCAGTGCCCATTCTCCACCACCAATGATCCCAGTATCCCTCCCACCACCCCCATCTTTCTTCCTTTTGGGAGGAGAGAAGCACCAGGAGGTGCTCAGGACTGACTCTTAGCTCTCTGTACTCAGGGGTCACTCCTGGTGGGACTTGGGGGACCAGAGGGGTCCCAGGGATCAAATCTGAATCTTCTGTGTGAAAGGCAAGTGTCTTATCCACTGTATTATCCTCTGGTTCCCCCTTTTTCCTTCCCCTTTTCCCTCCTCTCCTTTCCTTTGTTCTGTTCCCCCCTGTTTCTTTTGGGGTCACACCCAACAGTACTCAGGAACTTACTTCTGGCTCTATGCTCAGGGACCACTCCTGTCAGGGCTCAGGGGATCCTGTACAGTGCTGGGGATCAAACGGGAGGTCTACCACATGCAAGGCAAGCACCTTCACCCCCAGATTATCACTGCGGCCCCAGCTTCTTTGATTTATATTAGGCATACTTTTAAATAAATTTTCAGTGCAAAAATTCTATCATTCTGTTCACTGTTCCTCTTCAGATAACATGGTTCGGGCCTCCAGCCAGAGAGATAGGACAGCAGGGCGGGCGTTTGTCTTGTGCATGGCTGACCTGGGCTGATCCCCCATATCCAAAAGGGTCCCCCCAAGCACCACCAACAATGATTCTTTTTTTAAAAAATTTTTAAAATTTATTTATTTTGCTTTTTGGGTCACACCCAGCGATGCACAGAAGTTACTCCTGGCTCTGCACTCAGGAATCACCCCTGGCAGTGCTCAGGGGACCATATGGGATGCTGGGAATCGAACCTGGGTTGGCCACATGCAAGGCAAATGCCCTGCTATGCTATTGCTCCAGCCCTGCCAACAATGATTCTTGAGTGCAGAGCCCAGAGTCAGCCCAGAGTATTGCTGGGTGTGTCCCCCAAAAAGCAGACAGAGAGAAAGAGAGAGAGATGATGAACCAAGAGATAGTACAATGAGTAGAGCGTGCCTTGCATGCAGCCAACCTAGGGTTCGATCCCTGGCATTGCAGAGGGTCCCCCAAGCTGACCAGGAGTAATCCCGAGCACAGCTGGGTATGTGTACCCCACACATACCGAAAGGGAGATGGTGGTAAGGGCTGTAGATATGGTTAACAGATGAGTCCATGTGTGAGACTGGAGTGATAGTACAGTGGGGAGGACGTTTACGAATGCGGCCAACCCAGGTTTGATCCCCAGAATCCCATAGGGTGCCCCAGACACCACCAGGAATAATTCCTAAATGCAGAGCCAGGAGTAGCCCCTAAGCATTCTTGCTGGGTGTGACCCAAAAAGAAAAAATAAAAGTCCTTTTGTGAGGGGGGCATCACATGTGAGTCTTTTTTTTTCTTTTTGGGTCACATCCGGCGATGCACAGGGGTTACTCCTGGTTCTGCACTCAGGAGTTACTTCTGGCAGTGCTCAGGGGACCATATGGGATGCTGGGAATCGAACCCGGTCGGCCGCGTGCAAGGCAAATGCCCTACCCACTGTGCTATCTCTCCAGCCCCACATGTGTGAGTCTTAATTCTTCACTCTGTACTGCCAGGACCCCATCAATCACCTGGGTGTAGGAAAAACAAAAAGAATCAAGGAAGGGGCATTGGAATGATAGTACAGCGGGGAGGGCGTTTGTCTTGCAGTGGCTGACCTGAGTTCGATCCCCAGTATCCAATATGGTCCCTCCGTGCACAGGAGTAATTCCTGAGTACAGAGCCATGAGTAACCCATAAGCATCGCCAGGTATGACCCAAAAGCCAAAAAAAAAAAAAATCAAGGAGAGAAGGGGAGACTGCACACGGGACTAGAGTCCGGGGTTCCAGCCCTGGTCCACAGAGCCTCCCTGAGCACTGCTCCAAGAGAAGCCCCTGAGTATCCCCCACCCCAATGAATACAAAGGAAATAGCCTCAAGTCAGCATGAGGAGGCCAGAGCAGGGATAGCACCTGCCTTATATGCGCTGACCCCTGACTCAATCCCTGGAATCCCATAGGGTCCGCCTGATTTGCATCAGGAGTGATCCCTGAGTGCAGAGTCAGATGAAAGCCCAGAGATCCGCTGGGTGTAGCCCAAGACTTAAAAGCAAGAATAATGAAACAGATCCCACCCTCAAACAGGGCAAGTTGAGGCTGGAGAGAAAGTACAGTAGGGAGGTTGTTTGCCTTGCATGCAGCTGACCCATGTTCGATCCCTGACACTCCATCCACTCCCGGAAGCACCACCAGGAGTGATTCCTGAGCATAGAATCAGGAGTCAGCCCTGAGCATCGCTGGGTGTGACCCAAAAAAACAAAACAAAACAAAACAAACTAAACATAGCTAGTAGAGACTAAACAAAGCTAGTTTATTTTTTATTTTATTTATTTATTTATTTTTTGCTTTTTGGGTCACACCCAGCTCCTGGCTCATGCACTCAGGAATTGCTCCTGGAAGTGTTCAGGGGACCATGAGATGCTGGGAATTGAACCCGGGTCATCCGTGTGCAAGGCAAAAACACCCTACCCGCTATGCTATCGCTCCAGCCTCAATAAAGCTAGTTTAAAAGCTTTGTTTAGGGGCTGGAGCGATAGCACAGCTGGTAATGCGTTTCCCTTGCACGTGGCCGACCCGGGTTCGATTCCCAGCATCCCATATGGTCCCCTGAGCACCGCCTGAAGTAACTCCTGAGTGCAGAGCCAGGAGTAACCCCTGTGCATTGCCAGGTGTGACCCAAAACGCAAAAAAATAAATAAAAATAAAAGCTTTGTTTAGTTTAGTTTAGTTTTGGATCACACCCAGCGATGCTCAGGGGTTACTCCTGGTTCTGTACTCAAAATTTACTCATGGCGGTGCTGGGGGACCGACCATGTGGGATGCGGAGAATCAAACCTGGGTCGGCCACTTGCAAGGCAAACTCCCTCCCCGCGGTATTATCATTCTCCCCCCCAACCCCCCTCATAAATCCAGAATGACTGTTTTTTTTTTTTTGCTTGTTTGTTTTTTCCTTGGGGGCTGCATCCGGCAACGCTCAAGGCTTACTCCTGGCTCTGTGCTCAGGAATTAAGGTCCCTTATGAGATGCTGGGGATCAAACCCACACACTCTCCCCACTGTGCTATTAACTGCTGCTACTACTCACTAGTTCCTCTCCTGCCTGCCAACTTCCTCTGCCCCACTTCCTTTTCTGTGCTGGGCTCCCTCCCCCCGTCCCCTCCCCCCCCCCCCCGCGCCACCCCCACCCCCATCCCCCACCCTTGATGGTGATTGATTCATTTCGTGTCTTTTCCCTCTCAGGGGTGTTAGGAATAGGGGAAAACAGGAGCCCTGGGAAATAGTGGACTTTTCCCGGGGTTCTAACAGCTGGTTTAGCCTTTGCTGGGGGACAGGGCGGGGTGGGGGGGGGAACCTTCAGTCCCAGGACACCCTGGAGGAGTGGCTTTCCTAGAAAAAAAATTTTTTTCCTTTTCTTTGTTATTTTTTGTTGTTGTTGTTGTTGTTGTTGTTGTTGTTCTTCTTCTTCTTCTTCTTCTTCTTCTTCTTCTTCTTCTTCTTCTTCTTCTTCTTCTTCTTCTTCTTCTTCTTCTTTTTTGGGTGGGGTGATGTGGGTTTGATCGCCAGCATCTCACAAGGGACCTTAATTCCTGAGCACAGAGGCCAGGAGTAAGCCTTGAACATTGCCGGATGCAGCCCCCAAGGAAAAAACACTATGTCCAGTAATGCTCAGGGAACCAGGGAGTGCCAGAAATGGAACCCGGGTCTGCTGTGTGCAAGGCAAGTCCCTTCCCTGCTGTTCTATCTCTCAGGTCCCAATCTGGGCTAGAGATTTGGGTGTGGGGGATCCTGGACTGGGGACTGGGAAAGTGGAGGAAGGGCGTCCCCCACCTTCCCCAGAAGGCAAAACCTCTAGGAACTAGAGAAGGGATAGTACAGTGGGGAGGGCATTTGCCTTGCATACAGCTGACCTGGGTTCGATCCCCGGCATCCCATAGGATCCTCCAAGCACCACCAGGAGTAATTCCTGAGTGCAGAGCCAGGAGTAAGCCTTGAGCATTGCCGGGTGTGACCCTCCCAAAAAAAACAACAACAAAAAGAAGGCAGCACCTCTAGAAACTGGGCAACCACCTCAGGCCAACAAAGCTGTTGATTCCATCTTGTGGGAGGCAGGTGGAGTGTCACTGCTGTCGAGGTGCTGACACAGCCCAGAGCTACTGCAGATGGTGTTTAGGGGCACATGTGGGACCCTGGCAGATGCCAGGCACGAATTCAATCTTTGGAATCATCTCCAAAGTCGCACATAGCCGCATTGTGTGGTGCCATCAGTGTCAGTCCCTCTGTGTGTGGTGGCGGTGGTGGTGACAGGGAAAGCAGGTAGAGTTGCACATGGCCCGCCTGGTTTTGACCTCTGACACCGCAGAGCATCCCTTGAGCCCACCACTGGGTTGGAGCGATAGCGTCACACCCGGCGATGCTCAGGGGTTACTCCTGGCTCTGCACTCAGGAATGACTCCTGGCGGTGCCCGGGGGACCATATGGGATGCTGGGAATCAAACCTGGGTCGGCCGCATGCAAGGCAAACGCCCTACCCGCTGTGCTATCGCTCCAGCCCCATCCAGTTGCTTTTTATTTATTTTTTTTGGAGGCAGGAGGCTTGATTTTATCCCATAGCTAGTCCCAGGATTGGAGTGATAGCACCGTGGGTAAGACATTTGCCTTGCACGCAGCCGACCTGCCCGACCCAAGTTCGATTCCTCCGCCCCTCTCGGAGAGCCCAGCAAGCTACGGAGAGTATCTTGCCCCCATGGCAAAGCCTGGCAAGCTACGCATGAGGTACTCGATATTGCCAAACACAGTTAACAAGTGTCACAATGGAGACGTTACTCAAAATAGGAGACTAACACCCAAGAGTGGCCGAGATTAGTACCAGAAGGTTTTGCTTCATGGCTCAGAGGCCAGCCACACATGCTAAGGGTAAAGAGAGCTCAGATAGAAAAGGGAGCACCAAATAAAGGATGTTGGGAGGATCCTCCCAGGATGGGAGAAGCATGCTGAAAGTAGACTATAGACCAAACATGATTGCCACTCAGTGCCTCTTTTGCAAACCACAATACCCAAAAGGAGAGAGAGAACAAAAGGGAATGCCCTGCCAGAGAGGCAGGGTGGGTTGGGGGGAATGGGGGGTGGGAGGGATACTGGGATCTGTGGTGGTAGAAAATGGGCACCGGTGGAGGGATGGGTAATTGATCATTGTATAATTGAAATCCAAGCAGAAAAAATTGTAATTCTACAACTGTACCTCATGGTGTTTCACTAATAAAAATTAAAAAAAAAAACACAATGGAGACGTTTCTGGGCCCGTTGGAGCAAATCGATGAACAATGGGAGGACAGTGACAGTGATACTCCCTATCTTAAAAAAAAAAAAAAATCTTGAGCCCACCAGGAGTGATCCCTGAGAGCAGAGCCTAGTTAGCCCTGAGCACAGCGGGCCGTGGCCCCCAAACTAAAACAAAATAAAAATTATGAAAAGAATCAGGGTGAAAGGATTAGGGAAGGGGGGCTGGAGCTATAGTACAGCGGGTAGGCCATTTGCCTTGCATGTGGCCGACCTGGGTTCGATTCCCAGCATCCCATAGGGTCCCCCGAGCACCGCCAGGAGTAATTTCTGAGTGCAGAGCCAGGAGTAACCCCTGTGCATCGCTGGGTGTGACCCAAAAAGCAAAACAAAAAAAAAAAAAAGAAAGAAAGGATTAGGGAAGGGGTGGCAGGAATGGCCACGGTTGGGGTCTCAATGCTGAAATAAAGAACCAGACAGAAAACTGAGATACTTTGCAGAAATATTCTCTTTCTCCTCTCCTCCTCCTCCTTCTCCTCTATCATTGGCCTTCCAGCCCTCGCCCCTCTCCGGGTCACCCCTCCCCCCTCCCCTCCCCCCCTCCTGCAGAGCTCCACATGAAATTAGGGTGCACTTGGGTGTTTACTGGAAATGGGCTTCACAGGTGGCCAGACCAGCCACTCAGACTTTCCTGGTGATACTCTTGGGGGTGGCGAGCTCCGTGAGCCGCGGGGTCGCTTGGGCCAATAGGGATGCTGGGGACACTTGGTAGGGGTCTCGGCTTGTATTCAGATCCTTGCGCACTTTGGGTTGGGCCAGGGAGAGCAATCGGGGGCTGGCCACAGCTTTCTTAGTGACGTCAGGGATCACCCAGCGAGGGTCTCGGTCAGGGACACACTTGTCGGGCAGAGCTTTGGGTGCTGGAGGAGGAAGAGAGGGTACAGACAGCATGAGGCGTGAAGTTGGGAACGGACCCCAGCTTGCCACCTGCACCCCAGCGTGCCAAGCGTTACAAGCGGTTTCCCAGCAAGGAGTTCGCGCACGCCACGCTCCCTGCTTTGGGGGGCTGCAGCCCACCACGATGGGTTTGGTTTGAGGGCAGCCACGACGCTGCACCTCGGGGAAGAAGCATACCGGAAGAGGAAGGGCAAGCGAGGCCCCTCCCGTTACACCCCGCCCACCGCGAGCGGCCCCGCCCACCGAGAGGCCCTGCCCACCGCGAGCGGCCCCGCCCACCGAGAGGCCCTGCCCACATCGAGAGGCCCCGCCCACCGAGAGGTCCCATGCAGTGTGTCAAGGTCTCTAAGACCTACAGGGCTGGGCTCTGGACCCACTCACTGGCCAGGTGAAGGAGCCGGTTGTAGTTCGACACATAGGGCTTGGGTTTCGGCATGGGGTTCCACTCATCCAACAAAGTGGCTGGGGTCCTGGGCTTTGACAGTCGAATGATCCTCGGACTGGGGATGGCCATCTGGGCTGCCTTGGATACCTTGGACACCTGGTTACAAAGCAGAGTCGTGTAGGAGAGAGAGCACAGCGGATAAGGTGCTGGCTTTGCACACGGCTTTCCGAGCTTTGATCCCCAGCATCCCCTAGGGTCTGTGTATGTGTATCTGTGATGTGTATACGCTCTGGTGCCCAGCCTAGAGTAAGCCCTGAACATAGCCAAGTGTGCCTCCCCCATCCGCAAAAATTGAAAAAAAAAAAAAAACAAAAAAAGGAGGGAAAAGGTCTTCCTTGCTGTTTTGTCTTCCCACAAAGGCTGGGGAGTGAGCCTTCAGGCTGTGAGCATTGCTCCCATCAGGTGAGAGAAGTTGGGGTGTCAGTGGGATGAGTGTTGGGGTGTTCCTTCAGACAGACTGCACTTCCCAATCTTTGCCATGGGAGTGCTTAGGGCTGAGAGAGGGGTACCAGGCTGGGCAGGTAGGAAGCCAACTCCCCCACCCACCCACCCACCCCCAGCCCCACCCTATTTTTTTCAACTTTTCAGGCCACACCTGGTGATGATCTGGGATTATTCTGAGCTCTGGGATTATTCCTGGAAGGCTCGAGGGACCATATGTGGTGCCTGGGATCGAACCTCGGTCCATCTCGTGCGTGCAAGGGAAGCACCTGACCCGCTATGCTACCGCTCTGGCTGGCCCCAGGAGCCAGTTTTTGGGGGACTGCCTACTCTGCGCGACTCCCAAGGGGTGCACAGCTACCTGGCACATGTTTATGCTCCAGATGTTGTTCCGGACTCGAGGGGTGGCGAGTTCCCGCAGGCGGCAGGACGCGCGGTATTGGAGGGCGGGCCTGGACACGGGCCAGATGGCGGACTTTCTGCGGGCCAGATTGGAGCGCACAGAGGGCTGGAGATACACGCACTCGCGCGAGCAGGCCAGCACGTGCGCATGCGTGAGCCCACACGTGTGAGCCCGTCCATACCCGCGTGTACCCATGTACCGGTGTGCACATCAGCCTATGCTCACTTTGCCTGCGTCTGGTTACATGTGGTCGGCGTATGCATATGGACGTGTGCCCATATGAGTGTGTGTGTGTGTGTGTGTGTGTGTATGCACGCACGTGTATCTGTGAGGGAGCCTGTGTTCCCACCTGTATCTGCCATTTGCCTGTGTGTGGCCGAGTGTCTGTGTGATTTCAGCTCGAACACATGTGTGTGCATGCATGCCTGTCATGTAAGTGTGTGTGTATGGCTGCCTGCATGTGTAGGCGTGTGCGTATGTTCACATGTACCTATGTGGAGAAAGGGGTCCTCACCCAGCTTTTGAGTCTATGTCCTTACCTGCAGTTACTGTAATAGTCTGAATAAAACCTCTTCGGCCGAGACAATTCCTCCACTCGATGGCTCACAGCTATCAAAAGGAGAAAACAGCCCCTCTTACTCACCTCCCCACCACCCCTCTCCTGCCCCCCAGTTCCCACCTTCTTGATTCTGAGGGTCTGTGGACAAGAGTTTGTTTTGGTTTGGTTTGGGGGCCACATCCGGTAGTGCCCAGGCTTATTCCTGGCTCTTCATCAGGGATCACTCCTGATAGTGCTCAGGGGACCATTATGAAGTGAGGGAGATGGAACCCAGGTTGGCAGCGTTGCAAAGCAAATGCCCCCCCACCCACTGTGCTTTGCACCCACATCCACTGAGGCTGGGACTGGGACCAAGATCCTCTTTTTTTTTTTTTTGGCTTTTTGGGTCACACCCAGCGATGCTCAGGGGTTATTCCTGGCTCTGCACTCAGGAATTACTTCTGGCGGTGCTTGGGGAACCATATGGGATGCCGGGGATCGAACCCAGGTCGGCCACGTGCAAGGCAAACGCCCTACCCGCTGTGCTATCACTCCGGCCCCCCAGACCCTCTTTTGGAGTTTGCCTAAACTTCACCCCAGCATTTCTGGGGGAGAGTCCAGACAAGAGACCCCTGGGAAAACGGTGGAAAGATACCTGGGACATGGGGGAAGGGGGGGAGAGGGGGGATGCCGGGGCTCTGCAGGTGTTCCCAGAGGCTGGGAGGTTAGAACGCGGCTGAGATTGGAGCAATGGGTAGAAGGGAAATGAGGCAGGGTAGGGTGTCGGTAGGGCAGAGATAGGACTGAGGCAGGGTAGAGGTAGAGGCGGGGCAGGGTGGAGGTGGGATAAAGTGGAGGTGGGTGGAGACGAGTTGTATGCGGGGGAGGTAGAGGAGAAGCGAGACGGGGGTGTAGAGGAGGAGGCGGCGGGGCGCGGGTGGACGGGTGGAAAAGCAGAGTGGGGCGGGGCGAGTCCGGGGCGGAGGTGGGGCGGGGCCTGAGGGGGCGGGGAATGAGGCAAAGGAGGCGGAGATTCGAGTAGAGGCGGGGCGGGGCGGGGCGATTGGGAGGCGGGGCAGAAAAGACGGACAGCGATTGGATAAGGGGCGGGATGAAGGCGGGGCGGAGGAGCTACAGGTGGGACAGAGGCGGGCCAAGATTGGACGAGAGTTGGGACGGAGGCGGGACGGAGGAGAAGCGGGGCGGGGTATAGAGGAGGTCAGAGATTGGAGGAGATGGGCGGAGGCGGGGCAAAGGCGGGCAGGGATTGGAGGAGCAGTGGGGCGGGGGCGGGACGGAGGTGAGTGGGGCGGGGCGGAGGCGGGCCGAGATTGGAAAAGAGGCGAGGCGGGGCGCGTAGAGGTGCAGCGCCGGGCTTAGCCTACCTGGTAAAGTGACCGACAGGGTGGAGTCTTTGAGAAACTGCTCCGTCCAGTACACGGAGGGCCTGGAACACACCAGGCGTGGCTCAGGTGAGGGCAGCCAGCCACTGGCTCCCTACGCCCCGCTCTGAAACACAACTCAGGGTAGCCCTAAACACAGGAAGACAGGAGGCGGGCAGGGTAGCTAGAGGAAGTCGGGGGAGGTGCACGGAGGGGCGGGCGAGGGGTCGGTAGGAGGTGGCAAGGCGGGAAGCAGCATTGCAGCAGGGCTGGCGCTTGGGGGTCCGGGTGGGTGGAACTCGAGCCCCAGCTTGTGGAAGCGGGGTGGGGGGAGGACTGACCCTGCGAAAGAGCCTCGCACCCACCTGGTTTTGGAAAGCAGGGAAGGGGGTTCCAGGACGGGAAGCCCCCCTCCACGACCCCGCAGGAAGGAGCGGTGCCCTGGACTCACCAATAGACACAGAAGTGCAGCATCCTCATTTTCGGGGAGTACCACGAGTACCCCTTACAGTTGTACACCACCCTGAGGAAGGGCTGTCTGCTTTGCACTGGTCTTTCTCCTGGGGTGCCTGCAGGAACTCTTCCACCCCCTAACCACCCCCACGCCACCACCTCCCTCAGCACTGCCCCCCCCACCACAAGTGTATACCCTGGTGGAGGAGGCTGGCAGGTGGTCCTCAGGGTGCTCATTCCCCCGCCTCTTACCTGTTCTTTATAACTTGCCAATTAGTCTTGGGTTTTGCCAGGTCCACAAGCCTTCGTCTCTTGGACATCCTGCCCACAGGGGTGCTGGGGACACGCCTCGAGATGGACAGCTGGCTATGGGATGTGGGGGTCCAGGTCAGCAACGCCCTCATCTCCTCACCCATGCAGCCCCGCTCCACCACGGAGCAAACTCTGGGCCAGGCTCCCTCCTCCTGCAAGAGTCTAACCCCACCATTGGGGCTGGAGCGATAGCACCGCGGGCGTTTGCCTTGCACGTGGCCAACCGACCCGGGTTCGATTCCCAGCATCCCATATGGTCCTTCGAGCACCTGAATGCATGAGCCAGGAGTAACCCCCAAAAAGTTAAAAAAAAAAAAAGAATCTAACCTACACGCCCTGGTGGTCAGATGTGGTTCACACACAGACAACAAGCATCCTCCAAGGGGGAGAACCTCCTTGAAAGCTTCCATTGAGCCTCCAAGTCGGGAGGGGAGGTGTCTGAGAGAGGTCAACTGTATCCTATGTACCCTGTGTGCCCCAGATTCTACTTCCTGATGCCTCTTTCATCCTGGCACTATCTGGGGGTACTTGTCATGAAACCCAAGAAGGATTAGCCCCCATCTCCACTGCCACCACACCCCAAGTGACAGATTCCCCCAACTGCGTTCTGCCCTGGTGCTCCTCCCAGATAAATAGGACTCCACACATTTTCTTTGCTTTTACTTTTTTTTTTTTTTTTTGCTTTTTTGGGTCACACCCAGCAATGCTCATGGGTTACTCCTGGCTTTGCACTCAGGAATTACTCCTGGCAGTGCTTGGGGACTATATGGGATGCCGGGGATCGAACCCGGGTCGGCAGCGTGCAAGGCAAACGCCCTACCCACTGTGCTATCCCTCCAGCCCCACACCCCCCACATTTTCTGCCAGCAGCCTCCCCCTATGCTGGCCTGGGAAGGCCCCCTTGAGCCTCTCCTACAGCCCCCCACAGTCCCTTTGTCTCCCCAACCCCATGCTGGGCAGATACACACACACACACACACACACACACACACATACACACACACACCATTTCTGTAGCACTGTGGCACTGTCCTCCCGGTGTTCATCCATTTGCTCGAGTGGGCACCAGTAACATCTCCATTGTGAGACTTGTTGTTATTGTTTTTGGCATATTGAATACGCCATGGGGAGCTTGCCAGGCTCTGCCATGCGGGCGGGATACTCTCAGTAGCTTGCCAAGCTCTCCGAGAAGGATGGAGGAATTGAACCCGGGTCGGTAGTGTGCAAGGCAAACGCCCTACCCGCTGTGCTATCACTCCAGCCCGCATTACTGCTCCCAGATCATCAGTCTCCCTGGAGCGATAGCACAGCGGGTAGGGCGTTCGCCTTACAAGCGGCCAACATAGCCGACCCGAGTTCGATTCCTCCGCCCCTCTCGGAGAGCCCGGCAAGCTACCGAGAGTATTCGATATGCCAGACACAGTAACAACAAAGTCTCCAATGGAGACGTTACTGGGCCCGCTCGAGCAAATCGACGATCAACGGAGGGCCTTTTCTTTCCCCGGGGCTGGCTCCCCCCACTCACCTCATCTGAGTCACCTCATCCTCTATGTCTTTGTCCAACGCCTTCTCCTGCTCTACGACAGCATCATCGAAGACCCTGATGTCCACCACCGGCTCCTCTCCAGGCACGTCTGTGGGGGGCAGCTCGATCAGGGGCACCCGGAAAGGGAGTTCCTCATGGTCCGGGTCCTGGCTGGTGGTACTCCGGAAACGGATCCTGGGACTGGGGACAGTCAGGTAGTCCTCCTCCTGCCTCTCATCCGCATTGTCCTGTGTCTCCAAGCTCCCTTGGCTGCTGTGCGCCATGTGCTGTTGGTCCCCCGTGAACTGGTCGCTCATTATCCTGTCACCCCACTTCCTCTGCACCCAAGTGTGCCTTGCCATCACCTGGCAACAGGACAATATCCCCCAGCCACATTCTTCAGCCACATTCTACCCCCAGCCTGGCTCAGGAAGGAGCCTTGAGGTTGGCTGGTGCCCTCAGCTCTTGGGTGGGGGTGATGTCTGGGTCCCCTGCTCCAGCCAGCTGCCTAACAAGCCCCTCTTGGTGAGGGTGTCGTCTTTCTTTCTTTTTTTGCTTTTTGGGTCACACCCGGCAATGCTAAGGCGTTACTCCTGGCTCTACACTCAGGATTTACTCCTGGTGGTGCTCAGTGAGACCATATGGGATGTCAGGGGTCGAACCCAGGTTGGCCCCGTGCAAGGCAAATGCCCTCCCCGTTGTAGTATCACCTCCAAGAGTGTCCTCAAGAGATCTTCAGGAGGGGCTGGAGCCATAGCACAGCGGGGAGGGCGTTTGCCTTGCACACAGCTGACCCGGGTTCGATTCCCAGCATCCCATATGGTCCTCCGAGCACAGCCAGGAGTAATTCCTGAGTGCAGAGCCAGGAGTAACCCCAAGCATCGCTGGGTGTGACTCCAAAAGCAAAAAAAAAAAAATGAGATATTTAAGATTGGCAGGATCTTGCCCATCCTTGCAAGAAGAAACCAGTGGTCGGATTGGGGCACAAGAAGTTCTGGCCACTGGTTTTATTTTATTTCTCCAGGTTGAGAGGGATCATTCTTGGGGTACAGTGGTGAGGGCACTTGCCTTGCACACAGCCAACATGGGTTTGATCCCCAGAACTCCATAGGGTCCCTGGAGGCCGGAGATAATAGAACAGTGGGAGGGTTCTTGCCTGGCACATGACTGACCCAGGTTTAATCCCTTGTCATCCTAGAGGGTCCCCAGAGCTCATTAGGAGTGATCCTAATCAGTCAGGACTCCTAATACCGAGTCAGGAGTCATCCTTGAGTACTGCCAGGTGTGACCCCAAAACCAAAAAGTGTGTGTGGGGAAGCAGAGAGGAAGTACAGTGATCAAGTCATTTGTCTTGGGGCCAGAGCGATAGTACACCAGGGAGGGAGTTTGCCTTGCACACAGCTGAACCAGGTTCAGTCCTCAGCATCTCATAGGGTCCCCTGAGCTCACCAGGAGGGATTCCTGAGCATGGAGCTAAGAGTAAGCCCTGAATATTGCCAGGTGTAGCCCCAAAACTGGAGAGAGAGAGAGAGAGAGAGAGAGAGAGAGAGAGAGAGAGAGAGAGAGAGAATTTGTCTTGCATATGGCTGATCCCTATTTGATATCTGGGCACCCCATGGGATCCCCTGAGCACCACCAGGAGACACCCCTGAGCACAGAGCCAGGAGTAAGCCCTGAGCACCTCCAGGTGTGCCCCCACCCTCAAAAAAGGGAACATTCAGGGCTGGAGCGATAGCACAGCAGGTAGGGCGTTTGCCTTGCATGCAGCCAACATGGCCGACCCTGGTTCGATTCCCAGCATCCCATATGGTCCCCCGAGCACAGCCAGGAGTAATTCCTGAGTGCATGAGCCAGGAGTAACCCCTGAGCATTGACGGGTGTGACCCAAAAAGCAAAAAAAAAAAGGGGGGGGAACATTCTACATAGGGGAACCTAGTTCAGGCTGCAAGTACAGCTGCCATAGGATTCCAAGAATGAGGGGTGGAATGATGAATCTGACTATGAATTAGGTTTTTTGATGCTGGGTTCGTGGGGGGGGGCAGGGCAGGGAAGGGGGATCATCACATCCAGCAGTTCTCAAAGGCTGGTCCTGACTCTGTGCTCAGGAATGACTCCTGTGAGTGCTTGGGACCCAGGATTGCCTTCTGCAAGGCAAGCACCTTACTTGTGGACTTCCTCTCCTGCCTGAAAATTCAAACTTTCTTTTTTGTTTGTTTTGTTTGGGGGCCACACCTAGCAGTGCTCAGGGGTTACTCCTGGTGGTGCTCAGGCGGGACCCTTTGGGGTGTCAGGGACCGAACCCAGATCGACTGCATGCAAAGCAAATGTCCTACCCACTGTAATATTGCTCCAGCCCCAAGTTTAAACTTTCATCTGGCTTTGGGATTAACGAGATAAAGCAGCGAATAAGGTGCGTGTCTTATACATGGCCGAGCCCCACTAGGAGTGATCCCTGAGCAGAGAGCCAGAAGCAATTCCTGAGCACAGGCGGACCCCCAAACCCAAAACAAACACCCCCTTTTATTTATCTAAGCAGCTCCATCTCCAGAAAGCCTTCCCTGGCCCCCTGTGGAAGGCAGCTTTATTATTCCCTATCCGAAGTCAAGGGGGATTTTGCCTCCACCACGATCACATTCTGAAAATTGCATTTTCTTTTTGTTTGGGGACCACACCCACCGATACTCAAGGGTTACTCCTGGCTCATGCACTCAGGAATTGCTCTTGGCGGTGCTTGGGCGACCATATGGGATGCTGGGAATCGAACCTGTGTCGGCTGTGTTGGCTGCGTGCAAGGCAAACGCCCTACCCGCCGTGCTATTGCTTATTGCTCCAGCCCACTCAGGGATCATTTTTGCCCCCCGCCCTATAAGCCGTAGGCCTTGCCAGCTGTACTAATGCCCTGAACATTGCATTTTCAACAGACGTGTGCTCTCTAACGCCCGCTTAATTATGAGACAGGCCTTCCCTTGATCGCGACTTGACTTTCAGCAACTGAAAAGGGGAAATCTCCGGGAAATCGGGAAGGAGGAGGGATGGGTTCCACCCGAGGGAAAGGGGTGGAATTTAAGAGAAGGGGGGATTCCAGGGACGCCAGGGGGATCCGTAGCCCTCCCGCTAGGGAGATGCAGTATCCACCACTAGGAGGCAGATGGCGCTCTTCTCAAAGGTATCACATGTCGCCGGGCGATGGACCAAGTACTGGACCAAGAACTGGGGCTTCGGCTCCTTGAGGCTGAGAGTCCCCTAAGGACTAGCCTGTAGGGGGACGTTTTATCGTCATCCCCTCTACTCAACCTGGCGCGGGGACCGGACCCCAAGAGGCAGTCAATTGCCTAGAATGGCACAGGACGCTAACCAGCCTCAGGCCCAAGAGGAGGGTGCAAGGCGGCTCCAGGACGCCCCCTAGCAGGTCGCAGAGGGAAATTCTGCCCAAAGATACTGAATCAGGAAGGGCTTCGGGGTCCGAGAGCCTGGGAGCCGATGTGACCACTGGTCGGGGAAGTGGGGAGGCGGAACCGATGCGGTACAGCAGAAGGTACACCTGAGCTGTCCTCCTGGAGACGAGAGGCAGACATGCAGAGCCCATGCTTTGGGGCTGTCTGCAAGAGGGTTGTTATCTGTCCCCACGCACTGCCGCGGAGGATTGCAGAACTCAAGAGTTCAATTCCAACTAAACGCTAACCTTCGTGCATCCCCTCCAGTGGATCCCCTTCGTGCATCCCCTCCTGGGAGGGCCTGCCTCCCCGCACTGGAGCTTCGGGTGAATTCCCAGCTGCAGGCTGGGCTGAGGTGGCACGCACCCTTTTCCACGATCTGCTCCGCGTTTTATTAATAACCGAGTCGGGTCCCGCCCAGCTCCTATAAGACCCTCCTCGGGGCGGGGGTCCTGGCCTGAGGGGCGGGGCTGAGCAGACATCGAGGCCCGAGAAGTGAAACGCGGCTGTTATAAACCACGGAGGCCCCCCAAGGATCGCCGTGTCTCTGGGGTTGGGGTTCCCCCAAAGTCAGCCCCATCAGTAGGAGAGCGGGGAGGAAGAACTTCCGTCTCTGGGAACAGGCGGAAATGAGTGAGGAGATAAGAGAGATAGTACAGAGGGGAGGGTGCATGTTTTAGGCTGGTTCTACCCTGTTTGATCCCCGGCACCCTTTGTGGTCCCTGGAAACTGCCAGGAGCTCAGGTCCCTGAGCTCAGGTCCAGAAGTAAGCTCTGAGAATCGCCGGGTGGGACCCCAAAACAAAACAAAAAGTGGGGACTAACCAAGGAAGGAACCAGCACCCCTGCAGCTACCCCAACCTCCCAGGGTCAGCTCTCCAGGGGGCAACCAAACATCATTTTATCTTGCTTAAGTGGGGCTTCTTAGGACTGACCAGCAGGAAGGGCGCCTGCCTTGCACGTGACCAACCGGGGTTTCAGTTCCATATGGTCCCCAGAGCACCACCAGGTGTCATTCCTGAATGCAGAGCCAGGAGTAACCTTTGAGCATTGCTGACTGGGTGTGGCCCAAAAGACAACCAAAAATCCTACAAAATTGTCTTGGAAGGGGACCACACCAGCTGTACTTCCTCCTGATTCTGCACTCAGGGATCACTATTGGCAGGACTCAGGGGACCATATCAGGTGCTGGGCATCAAACTCAGGTCTGTCACATACAAGGCAAGCACCCAAACCACTGCACTATTGCTCCTGACCCCAAACCCTACAGATTTGTAAGTCATAAGGGCTGGAGCGATAGCACAGCGGGTAGGGCGTTCGCCTTACAAGCGGCCAACATGGCCAACCCGAGTTTGATTCCTCCGCCCCTCTGGAGAGCCCGGCAAGCTACCGAGAGTATTCGATATGCCAGACACAGTAACAACAAAGTCTCCAATGGAGACGTTACTGGGCCCGCTCGAGCAAATCGACAATCAACGGGAGGGCCTTTACCTTTACCTTTACCTAAGGGTGGGCCACCCAGATTTAAAGTCAGGCACCTCTGACCACTGGATTAAGAGTGTTCTGCTCCCACAACTGACCCCAAGGCTGGTAGTAAGATTTCTGGAATTTATACCACCAGGGAACTGTTAGGGGGTAAGGGGTAAAGTAAAAAAGTAAAGGCTCTCCCGTTGATCATCGATTTGCTCGAGCGGGCCCAGTAACGTCTCCATTGGAGACTTTGTTGTTACTGTGTCTGGCATATCGAATACTCTCGGTAGCTTGCCGGGCTCTCCAGAGGGGCGGAGGAATCGAACTCTGGTCGGCATGTTGGCTGCATGCAAGGCAGACGCCCTACCCGCTGTGCTATCGCTCCAGGGGGTAAGGGGTAAGAGTGGAAACCTG